ACTGTCCTTCTATTGTCGGTCTTTCTGTTATCTTTTAGTTGTCTCTCTCTTAAATCGAGTTTACAATTATACCAATCTGTTAATTCTGTTTGGAGGTGGTAGTGGTGGTTTAATATCCATTCTGACAACTTCTGCCTTGAGTGGTCAGATTTTTAATGCTGCTTTTTAGTAACTTCATTTCTGCTTTAGGTTTGGTTGATTGAAGTATTTTAATATTTTTCTTGCCTTGTCTGGTTTAGATGTTACATATTCTAGTTCTGAATTTTTAGTGGCTTTTCCAGTATTTATAATATGAACACCTGACTTAAACTCTAAAGTTAATCAGCATTTTTACTGTCCTCCTGTGGAAGGACTTGAGTTTGATTTCAGTCACCACCTGACCCCTATCTTATATGTTATTGTTCAGCGTTTTAATTCCATCTCTTTATTCTACCCCCCAAATAGTACTACCTGGGAACCTACTGGGCCAGCTTCCCTTGGAGTGTCAACTCCACTCAGCAGTGACTAGATCTTCCCTCTTCTTCCCCTCTTCGGCTGGCATTTTCCTTTGACAAGTCACCTCTTCCACATCCCTAGGCTGGGTCAGTCGGAGTCAGGCTCTGTGTTCATCATAGGCACACTGGAGAGTGTATACCAGCCACTGTGCTAGGGACTAGAAAGATGATGATGAATAGATGACACTGGTGCTTTTGGAATGGTAAAGTTGATATTGCTTTTCCAAGTAAGAATATGGTATTTAATAGTTCCAAAGAGTACCATATTTAAAAGTGCTTCTTGCTTTTGAGAGAGAGAGCTTGGGACTTTTGAGATAAGGTAGGGGTAAGGTAGTATGCCATGGTGTCTCCTGAAGACAGCCATGTCTGTGGTTTCTCTACAGCTCCGTCATTGGCATTAATCACTGATGGGCACGCATGATTATGGATGGCGGGGACAGACAGATGAGGGGAACCCTCTCTGTCTGAGGCACAGATATTTGAGACTGTGTAACAGAATCAGAATGGGAAGTTTCTTGGGTATCGACTGCTCCCAGATCTTCTAGCTCTCACATAACATCTGTCTTATTATTTGTGCTCATAAAAGATATGGCTCCAGCTTCATGAACTTGCAAGCAAGGAGGAGACAAAGGCTGAGTGCTGTCCAGAGTGTGAGAGGCACCTGAGTCAGCCCCAAATGTAGCTCCACGTTTCAGAGGGAGAGATTCTAGTCTGCTAGGATCTACTCGAAGACTGGAGGGCATTACTTGGGAAAAAGCTTAAACTGCTCTCATGGGATGGCACTTTGTCTGCTTTAATTTGTTTGGCCAACTAATAAATACCAAGAAAAATCATGTGACTCAAGTGTTCCCATGGTTCAGCTCACCCAGGTCTGACTCCAGGTGTTTATTGACATTGTCTTCCTCAAGGGCACTGGCTCCTTCAGAGATTCTGGATGTGGGTGGTTACCCTCGGATTACAAAGATGACTTTCTTTATGTAGCCATATTTCCAATTGAAGAATACTGAAATGCTGTAGCCATTTACAGCACAAAGTTTGAATTAAACACTTTTTGCATTGATTTGTCCCACCTCTTCCTTTAAGCAGATCATAGAAATGGGTATTTGAGAGTGTGTTCAGTTTTCTGGGCTACAAGATAATAGGAACGATCGAGATAGCTCCTGTCAACAGTCAGGTGGGAAGTTCCTCCGCACATAGATCTAGGAGTTTAAGTCTCAGATTGCTGCTGATTATTCTTCTGCAAGATCCTCAAACCCCCAAACCACACACTACAGGTAAACATAGGCTCGGCTCCAGATCCCTAAGCATGTTGCCCTTATCCTAAGAGATTATCTAAGTTATTGTCTGCTCTTCAGGAAAAGAACAAAAAGCTGGTGACCTAGAACTGTATGGCCAAGAGTATGGTGTGCCTTAGTTCTCTACCTGCCCCTTCTGCAGCCCATGTGGCTGTCGTGGCGGCCTGGGCTGAGGCGCCACTCTCAACCCTGGTAGCTTACTCAGGCCTAGGGAGGCCTGTCACAGAACAGCCTGCACCCACAATCTTAACACCGGCTATTATTAAAAAAAAAAAATTGCATTGGCTGGCACGGTGAAGTTTATTTCTCACATAACAATCCAATGGCCATTCTGGTAGGGCAACTCTCTTCTTCTAAATGGTGTTCAGGGACCAGGCTCCCTCCATCTTGTGTCTCCACCATGGCCTGAGAATCAGCGAGGGTTGCAGAAGTTTTTAATGGGTCAGGGCTGAAGGTGGAACACCTCTCTTCTGCCCCTATTGTGCTGGAGATGTAGATGAGCTGTGCGCCCTGGGAAAGGGCTCTGGTTTGGTGAACGGCTGATGTCTGCCACACTCAGCTTCAAGACCGCTCCCTGAGGTGATTAAGAGGTACTGGATGTCTGGGTCCTTTCCCTCTTTGTCTACCGAAACCCAACTTGTTTGCAAGTCTTTTAGAGCCTAGCTGCTAAGGGCTGTTTTCCCCCTTGTCAAGGGCATGGTATGGCTGCACAAATTATCTGAGGAATTAATAAAAGATCAGTTATATATTCAAAAATCAACCTATAGGGTGTGGTTTCCAGGCATCAGTACGTTTTAAAAGTTGCCCAGGTGAGTCTAATACGCAGGCAGTGTGAGGACGCTGGCGTCAACGCACAGGAACATGGTGATTAGTCAGAAGTGAGGAGGGAGGGAACTCTCAAGTGTAACTAGGAAGGGTAGACTGGGGCGCAGCGATAACTTGCCACGCAGAGTTCTGTATCTGCACTGAGGATTGGATAGAAGGCCTGCAAGGCCTGTCCTTCCCATGAGAGGTAACTTTAGTTTTGTTCCTTGTGACCAAAAAAGCCTGATCAATACCCTCCAATCTCAAACCTGAGCAACTTGGAGAGGCCCCCAGAGGAGGGGGAGCATTCCCTATTTTGGCAGCACGAGGACACAGAGGTGCACACCCATCTGGGCCCTTTATGGGGAGGCATGCGAGTAGACAGCCCTGATGCTGGAAATCCTGGCTATTAGGTAGCCACCACTAGCACCAACCGCAGACTGGGCGTTAGGCGGGTGGGAGGGGTTATAACAGTGGCCCGGGCTTGACCAGAGACTATATAGGGCCCTTAAAGCAGTCAACACAAATTCCACGAAGGAGTCAAGGGCCTAATCCATGTGCCTCAAACCCTCTTTACCAGGGGCTGATGGCTCCTGACTGCATGCACCTTCTTTCCATACCTGTTTTCAAAGAACAACTCTCAGTGTGTGTGTGTGAGCACCTCGTCAGCTCCTTCCACTTACCGGATGGGCCAAGGGAAGCTAGAAAAATGAGGATCAGAGTCTCTCCGCAAACAGGAAGGCCAACACTGCAGCCTTCCAGTCTTAGGGGTTTTCTTTGAGTGCTGCTTCCTGGTGACTAAGTTTCCTCTAGGTACACAGTACCCAGTAGGCTTTGAGAAATGTGATGATGCCCTCTATTGACCTTCCTTCTGGCCATTCCAGAAAAGGAAAGACTGAGAGGCCTTAGGTGAGCGTGGAGGAGTGTTTAGTCAAGCTAAGTTTGGTCAATGCAGGGGTTGCCAGGCTCCTGAAATGCAGTATTATTTCAGAAGGGTTCCTTTAGGGTGACAGGGTTGATCAGAGGTAGCCAAGCTCTCCCTAAGCAGTCCAGGGATTTCTGCCTCTCACAAGTCAGGCAAGAGTCGGGGCATGGCAGTCTTCTCCATGCAAGACCCCAAGCCAGGCAAGCAGCATGGGCTGCTGAGTTTTTCCTTTTTTTCATGGGAGAAGCAGGGGATGAAGAGTTATTTTATTCATCTCTGCAACTGAAATAAAAATATATTCTTCAGTGAGCTGTGGCTGAGATAAGATGTAGAAATGAGGCTCAAAGGAAACAGGGAAAATCTACACAGCCAGTAAGTTATCAAGTCCTGTAGCTCCTTCCTGAATCTCTGAAAGCCATTCCAACACACCAGCCTCACGGAGTCTTCATCACCCGCCCACCCATCTACTCCTGTACTGTCCGGCCTGCACGACTGTGGAAACCTGTGCCCCTCGCCTGGAGCACAGTTGCTGGGAGATCTGTGCTCTCGCTTCTCTGAACTTCCTTCACCCTTGTTCAGGATGGGACAGCTGCTGCCTCCTATTCATGTTGCACTGAATATGCACTTCTAGACCAGCGGCTCTCAAAAGTGTGGTCCCTGGACCAGCAGTATCACATCTCCTGGGAACTTGTTAAAAGGCAGATTCTCATGTTCCACTCCAGACCTACTCAATCCAAAACTCAGCGGTGGGGCCCAGCAGTCTGTTTTAACACTCTCTCCAGGTGATTTTGATCCAGACCACGTACAAGCTGTGCTGGGCCCGAGTTCTAATTCTGTCATTTACTACCTGTGTGGACTGAGTTACTTCTCACTATGCCTTGGTTTCTGTATCTGTAAAAACAGAGCCAATACCGCCCACCCTCAGCTGGGTTTGTGCACAGGCCTTGGCTGGAGTATGAGCTCCATGGTCCTTCTCTCCCCTCCTTTCCTGACAGTCCAAGGCTGTCCACCAGCCCACCTTGTAGCCCACATGCCCAGCACGCTGCTCCAGGAGCACTGTACAGCGAACACATCTGGGGTCAGGGGGCCAACCCCTACTGCTTTGGAAACCCAAAAGGAAAGAGCAGGGGCCCAAAATTCTAAAGGCCATACCCTGGGCATGAGGATGCTTTGTATCTCCCAGCGTGGCCACGGGGGAGCGTGAATCATCTTTGTGTTAACAAAGGTATGGAAGAAAGCGCAGAAAACTCCCCTCCCTGAAGGCCGAGGGGAGCAGCTGGCCAGAGGGGGCCAGGAGGTGCGCGCTCCCCCACCAGTGGCCAGGCAGCGGCTGAGGCAGAATCCCAGCACCATCGGCCACACGCGCTGATGCCAGGCCCACAACTTCCCTGCCAGAGGCCATCACGTCATAGGGACGCACAGGTGGCTGGACCCGTGGTACAGGTCAGCGATGTAGCACAAAGCAGCACACCCAGCAGCACGTACAATTAAATAGCATGTTTAATCATCTCACAACAGACAGTAGTGCAGTAGTATAAACTGTAAGTTTCTCTTTAAAAAGTCAGTCCCCCAAAGCTCCCATTCCTCAACACCCAGATACCATGGCTGAGGAACCCATGACAGGGCCAGAGGGATTCAGGAAGTCTCTGTTCCAAGGAGCTGAAAGTCTTTCCAGGTCAAGGTTCCCTTGTGAGTAGCCGAGAGCCCTCTGAGGAGCTGATGCACATACACGTCCTCTAACACACACACACATGCAAGGGACACAGAAGACACACGGACAGACGGACACAGAGGAGACCATAGGGGGGTAGTTGCACACATGCACTCTCATGCCACAACGTTCCAGTCTGTCTGTGGCTGTCTCTTCTGGGCACAGGGGGCGGTGGCCTGAGCCCTGAGGCAGCCAGGGCTGGTCAGGAGGAGGAGGGAGGCAGGCTGTGTCCAGCCTAGCTGCTCTAAACACAACCGCCCAGCAGCCAGAGGGACCCCTCTCCATTCCTGAAACAGCCAGTCCTCCCCTAATCTTGAGCCAGACACCATTTCTGCTCCACCAGCCCAGCATCAGTGGTGAGGAGAAGGAGCGCTACTTCCACTGGACCCAGCGAGAGGGCACACTCCATCCCAAAGGAGAGAACAGAGAACATGGCTGCAGGCAGGCTCTTGGAGCAGGAGGCTGGTGGTGCTTGGTTCTGCACCCAGGTGTGGGGGACACAGCCAGGCCTCACTGTGCAGGCGCCCTGGGAGCAGCAACACTGCCAAGAGGGAGCTGGAGAGGAGGCCAGGAGCTGGCTGTGTCTGCTCTCAGAGCTGGGGAGGGGTTTGCGAAAAAGGAGGCCCTGAGGTGAGGATATTCTGGGGGGCCTACCAGACTGGTGTAAAGAGGAAACCTTCGTTCACAGCTTCGTTCAGGGGTTCCCGGAGAATGTCTCTGGATTCAAGTATGAGCAGCTCTGGTTGGGAGTGTTAGGGTGGAATGACCAGCAGATGCTGGGAGAACAGCTGCCCACAGACATGGGAGGTATGAGAACCAGCCTGGCAATGCTCTGGACTCCAGCACCGCCAACCCCCACCCTGAGGAGACAGACCAGGTGGCTACAAGATCTCTTCCCGTGAGCTCCTGGCCTTAAGCGAGGTCTGCCCGTTGGGCACGGAGCCATTCTGACCGTGCAGGAGTTTGCCCTTCTCTCGGTCTGGCCACGTGAAGATGGCGTCATCGCTGTCCAGCTCCGACTCGGAGTGCATCAGGCTGCTGCTCAGCATTGGCCCTTTATGTTTGATGCCTGGAAGGGAGACGAGGAACCCAGCGTCAGGAGCACAAACCATCCTTGGCTTGAGCTACACCCTGCACCCTCCTCCCAGGCTGAAGAGGAACGGAGACAGGGAAAGGCACGGTCCCCTCTCTGGGCTGGGAGGGACAGATGGGAAGGAGGCTTCTCGAGCCCTTCTCCAGTCCTGGCTGCTGGAACAGTCCCATGAAGGGAGTCCCAGAGAGAGTAGACTGGAGACCCACAGACCTGGGTCCCAATGCTGAGTCTTTATCTCCAGGATCTATTAGCTTTGGTTAGTGCTACCGAATGACATTCTCTTTTCTTTCTCTTTTAAATATGGAATGTTTTATCATCTTCCTTTATGAACAGGGTGGAATTCTATGAGAGGAAGAAAAGAACAGCAAACAAGAACTCAGGTTCTAGAGAATGAACTTGTCACCGTATCCTGGCTCAGCATGGATGTGAAGTGCTTGCCAGAGTTCCCGACACTGAGTGCAGACCAACTTCACTCCACATAGATATTTGCTCCGTGGGCCCTCCTGCGCTTGGTTGCTCTAGCTTCACTGAGTGGGTACTGGAGCTGGGCGAGCAGGCACGTTGCTCGGAGAGGTCTCTCCTGCTGGGAGAGCCTGACTGAAATGGGGACTCGCACAGACAGTCCCAAGCCATCAGCTCATCAGAACACACCAACCAGGACCCATAAGAAGCACCTGAGGTCAGAAAAGACGCTTGAGATTCTGCAAGCATTGTAGTCACCTTCACTACTTATCCCTCCGGCTGTAGAGGGGCCACAGCATAAAAGGTTGTCTGCCAATAGCTTTAGGGCAGATCCCATCCAACAGCAAGATCGCTTCCCTCTGGCTGATACAAATACCACTGCAGAGAAAGCAAAAGGTAGCCTGAGATAGCAGGACTAGAAGTGGGCACTGCCAACAGCAAGAACCCAGCTCGGCAGTGCTCTGGGCCCTGGCACTGTCCACCGCCAGGAGCTAACCTACCTCCTTTCTTAAAAAGGTGGCCAGGCAGGGTGAGGTGTGTTTGAACCCTCATCATCCAACAGTCACTCTCCCTCCCTCTTCTTCCACTCAGATCCCAAAAAACACTGCAAGAGCGTCCTGAGATGATTCTCAGCCATTCTGCCCCTTCCTGGCCAGATATGACTGAAGGCTCTGAATGCTGGGGCATCTAGATTCTGACTGCGTCTGTCACTCGGGGACCACACCCCCGCGGACCGTGCCCACGTGCTGGTCTGGCTGTGCAGTGTGCTCCAGGGCTCAGACAAGGAGCTTACCCAGCCTTGTCCATCTCAGGGTACAGTTCTGGGACATGACTGCAGACAGCCACGCCTCCCACTGATTCTTGGGACAGGATGGCAGAGCAGCAAGGCCAGAGCAGAGCGCCAGCATCCTGGGCTTCTCCAATGTGGTGGAGGACAGTGGTCAACAGAAGAACCAAGCCCAGGGGAGGGTCAAGGTTCTCAAAACCCCTGCTTTGCCTCTGTGGATGAAATACTCACCCCCTGCTTCTCTGTCCTTTGGGGGCTTTCTCCTCCTAGCACCCACTCCAAGCTTCCTTTGTTCCCCAACCCCCTCTGGGCCATAGCTGCAGAGGACAGAAGACTGAGGGGAGACATGCTCCTGACTGCACAGTACACAGCACTCACCCAGGGCCCTCCCACCACTAGCTCCTGCTCTGCCTGAAGAACTGAGTGGACTTCACCCACGAACCACTACAAGCTGGGAAAGTGGTAGTATCAAAGGAGCTGAACATACACATCTCCAATGACTGAGCAACTCCATTCCTAGGTCTACCTAAGAGAAATCCATACATAACGTCCACCTAAAGACGTGGGCAAGAACATGTACAGCACCACTCCTCAGAATAGCCAAAAATGGAAGAACTCAGTTGCCCATCAACAGTATATCTGACGAGTAAACAGATTCATACAGTGGAAATTATACAGCATTGCGAATGAACAAACTATTGCTACACCTAGCAACATGGATAAATCTCAAAAATGTAATGTTGAGTGAAAGGAGCCAAACACAATGATTCCACTTATGTAAAGTACTCCAAGACATTAGAAGTAAACTGTAGGGGGGAGGAGGCAGTGACTGGAAAGAAGCACAAAAGGGGGTGCTTCTGGGGGGCTGACTACATGGGCATGTTCACTTGTGACAACCCATCAGGCTGTGCTTATGGTTTTCGGTACACATTAGGTTGAACCACAAAACACTGCCATTTTCATAGGTCAAAAAGTCAAATATCAGTAACTTCATATGGTTTAGCCCAATATACTTCAATAGAAAGTTTTGAAAAAATCAATAGCTAAACAAAACAAAACCTAAAACCATAGCTGCTGAATGTACATCACAGCCCCCGAGGGCGGGCATCCCCCATGCTCCTTTGGCGCCTGAGTGCTCCACGCCCACCCACATGGGACTGCCCCATGTCCACAGTTACTCCTCATTGGAGCTTAACCTGGCTTCCAGCAAACACTGTCCATTGTGGCTCACTTCCCCAGACACCAGCTTTCTCTGCAGCACGGCCCACTGCATCTACTCTTCTTCAAGATGACTGACTTCAGTTCCATCCCTTGTACAATATGGTCTCGAGTCCCACTCTCATCCTACTAGTGCGTCTGCTCTGGGCTGTACCGCCTAATCCACTGAGTCCAGAACAAGAGCTGGTGCTTCCGGCCTGGTCTGACCCACACCAAATCCAAGTGTACTCTGACTGCTCCCAGACACTGGCCATACGAGAAGGGCCTGCTGACCCTCATCTAGTCTCATCTTGGTTACTGAGATACACTGGCCACCCTGTGGCTCACCCCTGCTACCCTCCCCTTTCTCTAGTCTGCCCTACTGCAATCAGGCTCCCTTCCCATTTTGCCTCTTCAACCCAGCTTTTCCTTCCCTCCTACCTCAGAAGAGGTATCATAACTCCATTTATCCCCCACTCTCTCCTTTCTCCCCTACTCCCGCCCTCCTCCTCAGGAACCTCACCTCCATCTTCTGCATCTCTGTCCAAAATGCTCATGAACCCCATCCGAGAAAGCCCTTGCCCTCTGACCCCATCCTGCTTCTCCTCCACTTTTCACTGCTCAACTTCTAAAAGGACTTTTAAATATTTAGGGCCTCCATTTCCTCTCCGCCTACTTACTTCCTAAATAACGTTCACTTCTGCCGTCATTCACCATTCTACTCTAGCTCTCTAGGTGACCAGAAACTTCTCCAGTGTCCTTGTCATCATCAATTCTTATTCTTTTCTTCTTCTGACCACTCCCTAATGATGCCCCTCCTCCCTCACTGTTGGCCTTCCTGGGCTCCTCAGCCCTGGACTCTTCTTTTTTCTCTCAACATTCTCCCCAGAAGGGATGTGACCCACTTCTGTGGTGCTGATCCTCACCAGCATATGGAAGATTCCTTCATCGACACTTCCAGTCCTAACTGTTCTGCTGAGTTCAATTTAATTCATTTTCTCTTACCCAAACATCACTGCACCAGATGTCCTAATTCTGTCCACTCTGCTATCATTCTCTGTCTCTCAGGTCAAAAGTCAGCCTTGACCTTTCCTGTTCCTCCATCTCACTGACACCACGCTGTTTGAGCCACTAGCACTTCCTTCTTGGACTGTCGCAAAAATCTCCCTGCTGGCCTCCACCTGTAACCTCTCTCCTTCAATCGATTAAATGTTGTCACTAGAATAATTTTCCTAAGCCAGCACTTTCAAGATGTGACTCTCATCACCATCAGAATAAATGCTTAACTCCTTAGGCTGATGTTTAAAACTTTCCAAAATTTGGTCCTCATCAAACTGTCCTAAACCAAACACTTGGTCTTCTCCAACATTTCTTCTCCAGTCTTTCCCATCTCAGGGAATACCACCACCCAACCACAGATGCTCAAAGTAGAAGCTTGGTGACCATCCTTTACTTCTCCTTTTCTCTCACACCCCTCAGCCAACATGCCACGAACCTCATCAAGTCTTCCCCCACAGTGTATCTGGAATCTATGCCTCTTATTATCTCATCATCTCTCTACCATAAGGACATTCTACCAAATCTCCTCTCACCCACTCTTGACCCTCTCCAAGTCCTTCACATGGCAGCCACAGTTGTCTTTATAAAATGTAAATCAAATGATACCATTCACCCACTTAAAAAATTATCCATGGCTCCCTATTGCTCTTAGAAGGAACCTACAGCAAGGTCCCTGCTCCCTGTCCAGCCTTGTGCCTCCTGCCCTATGCTCACCACGTCCAGCATGTCGCCTTCTTCTATGTCCTCAAATGCCCTCTGCTCCTTCCAACAGCTGGGCCTTCTCCAACTTGGCTCCTTTGCCTGGAACGCTATTTCCCAGAGTCTTTACGTGGCTAACTCCTATTCGTCCCTTGGGTCTCAGCTTAAGTGTTACTCTTTATAAAGAACTGTCATTATCACATTTTGTACCTTTGTGATTTTGTTTGTTTAATGTCTGTCTGATATAAGCCACGCAAGAGCAGAGTCCGTTTGTTTGGTTCAACATAATATAACTATACCTGGCCACGGTGCTCTCAATCCTATTCACCAGTGAATACGATACAGTCCCTGCCCTCAAGGATTTCACCGACTGGTAAGGGGACAAATACAGAACTAATATAATACAGTGAGAGAAATGCCGAAAGAGGCATGTGGCAGAAAGATGAGCAGGACTTTAACTAGCAGGTTAAGGGAGGGATGAGAAACAGCTTTCTGGACAGAGATATCAACCAGCAGAATGTGTCTGAGAGAACAGCAGGAGGAAGACCTCAGGAGAGCAAACTGATGTAAGCTCACCAAGGCCATGTCTATCGACCAAAAGTTAGGCCTGAAGGATTTCAAGGGGTGGAAAACCTTGTCAGAGCAACATAAAAACAACCTGGGCTGCTGTGTGCAGGATGGGTTGTGCACGTTTTTACCTCCAGGCCTTCATTCTCAGGACTTCCGTGTGGACGCTCTGCCTACACTTCTCTAGTGAACAAGCCCTGCCACCTCCAGGTCCACCCCACAGTGCTCTCTAACCGAGCCGCTGGGGTACAGAGCCCAGACTGCCTATGAGCATTTGTTTTCTTCTGATATGTCTTTTCTCCCTCACCAGCCTGAAATTCTGAGGGCAGAGCCTATGTCTTACAACTCTCTATATTCCCCTACAGCCTCTCCTAACACAAAGCTTTAAGTATGAGAGATGCTGAATAAATACTTTGTATAAAAATAGTTCTACTTGCAGAGTGTTAGGAATAGCTCCACATAGAGTCCAGCTCCCATAAACAGAGAGGGCCTGTCCTGTGGCGTCCATGATGAATGGAAACCTCACCCATGACCGAGCCCAGCCAAGGAAGGAGGCTCTCTAGCTGCCCGAACCCTCTCAGCCCATCACTGAAAGCCAGCTCAGTGCTCATGCGGTTGGAAATTCTTCGGTGGAAGGCACCTGTCAGATGAGCCCAATGCACCTGGAGCCAGCAGAGAAGCTGGCCTCCCGCCTGCTCTAAGACAATGACAGAGCCTGTGGATCTGCCAAATACTGGAGAGAAGAAGAGGGGGAGGAAGGCGGCTGAAAAGGAGGTCGGCTGGCAGACACTGGCTTTGATCTCACTGCTGCCTCACCTTGTCTGCCCAGAAAGGACAGATTAGTCATCCACAAGAGACCAAGATCCCTGAGCCTGACTATAGGGGCCAGCTTGAAACGCTGAACTCCAGGTGGGAACCCTGAGGGGAACGAGTAGGCAAAGGAAAGCAAGAGGCCGAGCCCCTCTGCAAACGGAAAGGATGCTGAGAAGGGAGCCCTGGAGTCAGAGTTTGTCTGGCAGGCAGCTTCTGCCAGTGCAGGGCAGAGCTGACCCTCGGCCTTCATCTGGCAGGGGACAAAATGCTTTTCCAGCACAAACAGCTGTTAGTGACACATTTAGGAGGGGAGTAGTGATGGTGGCTGTTCACAGGGAGAGTGCACAAATCTAGACGCCCCCAGCTCCCAGCACCACTACCTGTTCGGGAGGTTGGCTTCAGATCCAGACTCTCCTGATCTGTGGCATCCAGGATCTTGTACTTGCTTTTCCTCTTGGGTTTTCCTTTTTGCCTAAAAAACACAATCCCCACCACTGCTCAGGAGAGGTTCTGTGTGAGGTTCAGGTAGCCCAGCACATGATGACAGCCAGATTGCACGTAGGGCCCTGTCTTGGGGGACGCTGCTTAATGGGAGGGTTGCTTCTCCTCATTTCTCAGCTGGGGAAGGTGGCAACTGTGATTTGTTCTTCAAACATTCCTCCCCAATTCTGGAAAAAGGCAAGGGAAATGTGGCTATCTTAGCATGGACTCACCACTCCACAGCGGCAATGACTGGTTAAAAATGTAAAGAAAATGAAAACCCTAGGCTTGAGGGGTGTGGGGTGGAGGAAAGCAATAAACCAACAAAGTTGTTAATGGTGGTTGTCTTAGGCTGGTGGGAATTTTTAAAAATTCTTTTAATTTTCTAAGTTTTATGTGTGGTTGTATTGCAGGTTGAATCTCAGCTCTGCCACTTATTCACTGTGTGCCCAGGGACAGATGTGTCATTTTCCTGAGCCTACGTTTCCTTATCTGTCAGCTGAGAAAAGGTTCTTATGCATATTAAAAAGATATTTAACCATAAAATGTTATGGTGTTTTGTACTCAGTAAACATGGAAATCATACTTATTATTAATAATGAAAAACATAAACATTATCAAATATTATAAGACTAGAGAGGAAGACAAATGAAAAAACGCAGAATACTTAATCATGACTAACCTAAGTCTACAATTATGTGAAAGCATGCAAACTCGTGAATCCAAACTAGAAAGGAAGGCAGAAACATTAAGAACTCATGTGTTAAGGTAGTGAGGCTGAGGTGTGGAGTATGAAAGGACACACATCCTAGAGATGTGATCCAGGTCCACACTCCAGGCCCTCACACTCCAGGTTGCAAATCACTGCAGTGACAGCCACTTGGTGGAAGGAGTGTGCTTCTGCCCTCAGGAGAGTCAGGTGAGGAAAGTCTTTCTGTGCACGCCTTGGATGGGCCAAACCACTATAACAGTGACGGGCAGGGAGGAAACCCAGGACTCAGCACCTTCCTGTGGAAAGTGCAAGATACTTCTCGGATGAATGAATACATGACTAGAATCCCGAATGAACTCCCAGGGGAATCCTTCTTACCTCTTACAACAACAGATCACAGTCCAGGACAGGATTCCCAAGGCAACAACAATGACAAAGGAAGCAATGATGACATATAACACGCTCCACTCTGCAAAGAAAAACAAAATGGTGAGGCTGTGAAGAGAGAGGCTAGAAGGCGGGTCTAGGCTGCTCCCACCTTGGCAGGAGGTTGCTTCACTCTGCAGACAAGAATGTCCCCAGGTCTCCCCAGGGAAGGTGAGACCGTGGAGATGAAGGCAGCCAAAGCTTCAAACCTTTTGAATTGACCCTGCTTTCCAGTCCCTGCTTTGAGAGCCCGGGGCAGTGGGGCAGGCTGTAAGGAGCTTTAACAGAGGGAAAGGGGAACAGAAACCTGAGTGCTCCCATTAGGCTACAGCATGCATGCACTCTCAAGTACAGGAGGCCTTGCAGCTGCTCTGATTTAGGCTGCAATTGGCAGTTGGTCTGATTTAACCTTGGTTCTTCTTTTTTTATTTTTTTTTTTGTGAGGAAGATCAGCCCTGAGCTAACATCCACGCTAATCCTCCTCTTTTTGCTGAGGAAGACCGGCTCTGAGCTAACATCTATTGCCAATCCTCCTCCTTTTTTTCCCTTTTTCTCCCCAAAGCCTCAGTAGATAGTTGTATGTCATAGTTGCACATCCTTCTAGTTGCTGTATGTGGGACACAGCCTCAGCATGGCCGGAGAAGTGGTGCGTCGGTGCGCGCCCGGGATCCGAACCTGAGCCGCCAGTAGCGGAGCGCACGCCCTTAACCGCTAAGCCACAGGGCCGGCCATTAACCTTGGTTCTTCTTACACGACTGCCTCAGAGCTTTCCTCTAACCTTGAGCAAGTGTGGAGGAAGGAAGTAAAAGTCGTCTGCAAACAGAAAATACACAAAGTTCTTCTTCTTCTTGCTTGCTTATCTGCCTCGGAAACACCAACACCCACCCACTCAACTCAGAACCACATTCAGTGCCAAACCAGCTGGCACAGTGCCAAGCAGAAAACTCACCACAGTTGCTGTCTCCATCCCTCAGCTGCACCTTGATGAAATTCTCCATCCAAAAAGGGTCACAGATACAGCGTTTGGTGAATGAATCACAATGGCCATGGTCAGAACAGTTCAACTGGCACGCTGAAAGAAGCAGGAAAGGGAAAAGAGTCAAGAGGAGTCAGAGCCAGGGGGATAACCAGCTTCCAGTGCCTGTGAAGATACAGAGGCAGCCCCTGCTCAATGGCCTGTGGTGAGATTTCCTGGAGACCTGCCCCAGGAGCTTTTACAGCTTGGACATGTTGCCCATAATTATCATCATGGTCGAATAAAACTGGAGCAGTTAGGCCACTGGAAGATGGTTCCAGACTGTTTTTGTTTCTACCAGTAGTTCTTAATCTTTCATGTCCCACAGAACCCCCTTCTCTGAATAATTTAATTGCAAAAATAAAATAATAGTATTACAAAGGAAAACAATTATACTGAACATTTTTGAAATATTTAAAAATATAAATTTTAAAAGTAATGTATGTGCATCTTTATTAAAAAATTAAGTAACAAGATCTAAAAGTGGGTCTAACAAGTGTTGTAATTTTGAAGTAGTGATGATTAAAACAGTATTTCATCATGTAGGGTGATGTGAAATTATCCGTGATTTCTGCTGCCTCAAAGTCACAGGTTCTGTTAAGAGTACTATAGTTTGTTGCCTACCTTCATAACTGAGGGAAATAATGAATTTCAGTTAGAAGTTAGTGAAAATAAAGATATAATTTTTTCCCATTCAAATTCACAGCCCCTCTGAATGCTATCTCAGAGGCCCCTGAACCCCAGGTTGAGAACCCCTCAACTCTTGCAGGATAATGTTAGTGGAGGAAAGTGATTATCCCCATGTTCCCGGAGGACAGGAGATGAAGCCTGAGGACAGCGGGGACTGACAGGGCAGCTGTGGGCACTGGGGAGGCCCTTGTTCCCAACTTTCCAGAGTTACTCACTGACAGTGTTGATTTCCAGGGCTCTGAATATCAGAAAGTCTGCATTTTGCCTCCGCAACTCGCTCTTGAGCATCGCTGCCACCTCATGGCCTTTGAAGATCTGGTGGGGAGGCTCATTTTGAACAAAAAATACCATCTTGGTGCTGGAGAGACATGCAATAGTAAGAATGAGCTGAAGCTGTCAACAACAATAGTAGTAGCCACCATTTGCTAAGTTCCTTCTGTTTGTGCCAGACACTGTGCTAAGTGTTATATGCATTCTCTCGCAGCGAGCCAGTGAGAAAAGAGTGATCCACGTCATCTCCATTTTACAGAGGACAACACTGGGGCTCAGAGGGGTTAAGTAACTTGCCCAAGGTCACACAGTTAATTATGGCAGAGCTAGATCCCAACCTTGATATGTCTGACTCCAAAGCCCATGCTTTTAAAAATGCCCTAAGCTGCCCCAGCTAACAAGCGGACCCATTCCAAATGGGTAACTGGAGGTCAGGAAAATGGGGGTTTGGTTATGGCTACATCCCTGCTGTCAGCCTTTTAACAACTAAGACTGTGGTGCTGTTGGTTTTGTGCCTGGGTTACTTGTAAGACAAATCACAACGCTTTGTAAAATATAAATTGTTGGACGGCATCAAAGCATTATCCATAGGTCCAAACCTAGCCAAAATGATCACTAGTATGACAGTGACACGAAAGACCCTACGCAATGGTGTGGCTGGTGCAAGATTATGTTACTCCGTGCCCAGCATCTGTTTGCTTTCTGACTGTCAATTTCTGTCCAAGGCAGACCATGTTTGAACTCACATCCGGGTGGCACGAAATCTGGTCTCTGCGCGTGGCCTCCTCTTCTGGTAGCCTGCTTCTGGAGCTCCATGTTAGTCTCACAAACCAAACCTCCCCAATCACTGGGTCACACTGGGTTTATACTGTGCCCAAGATTTCGATCCCCTCAGCACACAGGGGGGCTAGGTGGGACCCGGAGGCCCCAGACAAGTTGCTTCCAGTGTAAGTAGCCTTTATCCCAAAGTGCCATATCAACAGCATCATTTTCTATGTGTGGCATGACATAAAAGTTTGGGAAGCACTGTCATAAAAGACTTTCTAAAAGCTTGCTGCACAGTGAGGCTAACAATGAGGCTAGCATTATAAGTTCCAGAACCAAGAAACAAACCTTTACCACAAAAGATTTGCGGTCCATTTCCCATAATTTTCTCCTAGTTACCTACTCCATGATTAGAGTTTCAATTTCTGTCTATATACCAATAACCCTCAAATCTTTATCACCTCTACCCACGTCTCTCTGAGTGAGCAAATCTATGTCTGCAAGTGCTTGCTACAATATCTACCCCAGAGCTTCCACAGGCACCTCAAATCCAACATGTCTCAAAATAAACCTAAAATAATAACCCTTAATTGAGTACTCACCATGTGTTAGGGACTATACAAACATTATCTTATTTAATTCTCAATAACAATCCTATAAAATAGGTCACGGCATTTTTACAAGTGATAAAACAGGTTCAGAGAGGTGAAGTACCTTGCCCTCTGTCACAGAGCTAACACTAATGGAGCCAGGCTCAGAAGCCAGGTCTGTCGGCTTAAGGCCCACGCTATTTCCTGCTGTGACATACTATCTCCCTCTAATCATATTCTCCTCCTGAATTCCTCAACTAAGCCAATCCAGTCCAAGCCAGAAACCCAGAGTCATTGTGATGCTTCTCTATTCCTTGTGCCCCAGATGCAAGGAGAGCAAGTCTGCAAGCAAACCCTTCCACTAAGCTCTTCCCCGCACTCTCCCGGATATCCTCCCGCTGCTTCCACCCTGCAGTTCCCACTAGCTTGGATGGATCCAAGCAGCCACCTTCCCTGTTCCTACTCCCAGGCTGCTAAGCAGAGCTTAAAAACAAAGTCCTAATCATCACTGTCTCTGCCCCTGTGAACCCTCACTGCATATTAGACTCACCTGGGGAGCTTTCAGATTTTAGGTGCCCACACCTCACCCAGACCAACTTAATCATAATCTCTCCGGGTGGGGCTCGGGTGGTGGTATGTTCATAAAAGCTCCAGGTGATTCTATGATGCAGCTAGAGTTGGGAACCACTGCTCTCACCTCACGTCTCTAACCCTGGCCGAGACCCCACTATCACTCAAAGCCAGCCTCCTTTCCTGGAGCTGCTGTTCCCAACCTTAACACTTTCCTCAGGCTGCCCACCTCATTCCCACCTCCTCAAAGCAGATTGCCTTGCCTCCAGTTTCAGAGATGGAAACCAGGACATTGGTACCAATGCTCTCAAACTTCATCCTCTCTACCTCTAAATTCACCCATAATAGCACATCTTCCCTCCTTTCCTCCTATCTCCAGAGAATGTGGTGCTCCTGCTCTGCGCACAGCCAGTCCCCCAGACCTACCTCCATTTACAACCCACCTCCCCAATCTCCACCGTCTACTTTTCCTCTGCACCTTCCCCTCAGTCTATAAAAATGCTCAAGTATTTCCTATTTTTAAAAGGTCTTCTCTAGATTTTACCTCTCATATGATTTTCAGCACCAACTTCTTCAAAGAGGTGTTATACTTACCATCTCCGTATCCTGAAACCATGAAATGAATTTGTGCTCTGTCCCCAACATCTAAGTAAAATGCTGTCACTACAGTTCTGATGATCTAATCACAACCCCCAAGGCGTGTTTTGCATCCTCACCACACCCCATCCCTGTAGCATCTAAATCCTTTGGCAGCCCCCGACTGCCAGCTCATCCCTTAACCTCCAGCAGACCACTCCCACCTGGTTTCCCTCCCACCTCTCTGACTGCTGTTTCTTAGATTCCTTTACTGACTCTTTTTTCTTTGCCTCCTTCTTAAATATTGGTGTTCTCCAGAGCTCTGTGCTCAACCCTCTTGACATTCTCCCAGTGTGACACATTCGTCGTCATGGCTTTGATTCCTGCCTGTATGCAGTGACTCCCCACCTCTGGCTTTTCCTTCCACCCCAAGTTCCAGCCTATATTTGCTACTGTCTGACGGAATATCTCCCCATGTAACCCATAAGACACTCCAAATTCAAAAGTCACAACTGAACTCATTATCTTCTCTTCAACACTGGTTCCTCTGTATCCCTAATCTCAGTTAACAGCATCCACCATCTATCCAGGCATCCAAACCAAAAGTCTCACCTCTGATGCCTCACTCGCCTTCACTCCCAAAAGGTCACCAAATCCTACTGATTTACCTCTGAATTTCTTCTGCCATTTCCATCACCACTACCTTAATTCAGGTTTTATCACCTTTTGATTAGACCAGTCCAAAAGCTTCCTAATTGGTCTCCCAGACTTCTCCCTATTTTATTCTAGCCTCCATATTACTGACCTCTCCCAACAAAATCTCATTTCCTTGCTTCAAAAACAAAACAAACAGACAAAAACTTTACACACAAAACAAACTAACTTGGGTCCTCCTGCCCAAACCTCCTTGGCTTGCATATGACTGTTCTCGGTCTACACAGCCAGTCTTATCTTCCACCACATCCTGGGGCCCAGTAAGCGCTCTGAACCAAATGACTTCTTCCAGAGGAAACTCTATACTTTCATACCACAGGACCATTGCTCATGCTGTTCCCCTATTCTGAATTCTCTCCTAGCCCTCCTATGCTTGATCAATGCAAGTTTTACTTCTTCTGGAAAATCTTTGGACTACTTCCCTACCCCAACTCTCCTGGAAGAATTAATTGCCCTTGCCTCTGTGTTTCCACAATATCACACATTCTGTCAAATCCACCCTGTACTAATGTTATATGTTTACTTGATTATCTCCCCTACTAGACTATGGCCTTCACACACAACGGACCTCCTCTGATTTTGTATCCCAGTACCTACTGCAGTGTCTAGCACAGAGCATGTGGCCTGCACTAGAAGAGAAAAGTTCATTAAAGAAATGGACACCATGATTGGTTCCTGGTCAGAGAGCCCACCCTTCTCTATCTACCCACACTATTTCTCAGCTCAATCAAGAAGCCCAGGGAGCCCCTGGTCTTTCCTTTTCTCCCCCCATTCATTGCCCAGCTACCTCTGCTCCGTGTACGGCTGAATCTTTTGCACAATGATGTCGGAATCCAGCACCCCCAGGAGGACCCCAATCTGGCGGATGAACATCCCCTTCTGCCTCTCAGTTAGCTGACTGACGTTGACATCCAAGATGATCTCCACCAGGTTGTTTTTCCTGGGATCTGGAAAGCATGTGCATCAGTCATGGCTTTGGAAGTAGGAGAGTTAATACAGACCTGCCACTGTGTGCTTGCTTTGGCTCAGGAGAAAAAGTAGTGAGAGCATTCAGAAATGCAACTGACCTCCTTCAAATGGAAAGGGACAACAATGAAGTCCTACTAATGCAATCTGGGGCTGGCTTGGAAAGCTTCGAAAGCACCCTGGTCTCTATACCAACCTGAGAATTACCACGCACGTGCTAGGGATCAGGCCAAAGCAAGGAGGCAATGGGGATTAGCGAGGGAGTGGGGAAGAGAGAAACACTTTACAATTTGTTTTAAAACCCTCTGCCCAATTGGCTTTGCTGAACTCTTCAGGCCAAGTAGGGGGTATCTAGCAATCTCTCCCAATCCACATCTGATTTTCAGTGACCTGCTGTATTTTGTCTACAACAATGGGAGGGAAAATGTTCATCTCAACCCTCTTATCAACGAGAATGCATCTGCCCCACAGGTTTGAAAACAGTAACCACAAAGGAAATCCAGGCAGCCAAGAAACAAGGATTTCCTTAGAGCAACATCATGGCTGCACGGTCTTTTTACAACTCTGGAACCACGAGACCACTGTGCTTTCCTTTTGATTATGTCCTAAACACTGTGCTACACTTGGAAGTTAAAAGTGATTATTCAGAATACCTTATATCACATACTTGGATGCACTATTTGCCTGTTCTGATGTATAATTTACATAATTAGTAGACTATCTGTGATCTGATTTTAAACACGGAAGAGACTTTATAGTGTCTTGGCTGTTGTCCTTCATAGAGGCAGGACAAGGACTGGAAGACCTGCCAAGATTCCTTTCCACATAAGACATCTATACATGAGCTTGGCCTAGATAATAAAGAGCAGGTTTAAAGTTAATACCTTCTCATCAGATGCTCAGGAATTTATAATGCTCTACCCCACCCCCACACTCTCTTCCTCCCTAATACCAAATTAGCCTCAAAGCAAAATAAAAACATAGTTCTATTTAAGAAGGAAATTTTATTTCTGAAAATCTTAAAAATGTAAAGGATACCAGTTACTTTACCTTCTCTGGGCTGTCAGATAAAGCCTGAGGCTCCACTTACAAAAATAAATTGTTTTCTGCATCTGGGTGCTAATGAGACATCATGACTCAAGTTATTCCTGTGCTCTGATTCCCAAAGCACTCTGAGCCCTCTCTCATCAGTCACGTGTAAAGGAGAAGCTGCTGGCCTAGGAGCACAAAGGCCTGGCTCTGACACAACTGCTGTGTGACGCTGAGCAAGTCCTACCCTCTCGGAGTTTCCGTTTCTCCATCTGAGATGAGTAGGGAGAGATCTATATACCTGAGTGGGTAGGAGAGGTATTGTTGGAACAGGCAGTCTCTAAGGATTTTTCAGCTTGGGGTTTCTAGATTTTTTTAAAAGCTGGACATGCCATCTGGCTCTGTCCATGCTGCGGGAAGGTCTTCTCAGGATCGAGGCCCTGCTTGGCTGATCCAGCAATTCTACTCAGTCTCATCACTAAATGAACTCACCAGGTTTCACCTCCACAGTGGTCCGGTCTGTGTTACTCTCACCCTTCGCATCAGTCACTTTCAGGTGAAATGTGTAAGTTCCCTCGACCAGGTTGGAAAGAAAGAGGATAGGGTGGTGGTCAGAGTGATTTAACACCTCCTGTGGGGTTGAACAACATGGCTATGTTGCAGAATAAAACCACACTCCTTTTGTGGAGTCAACTGCTGCTTCTGTCATAACTAAGCTCCCTCTGGGCTGGACTGCTTCAACTCTGGGCAGTTCCTGCTCTGTAATGGCACTGCAGCCCACAGCTGCTAGGATCAGGAGAGAGAAACACATTCTGTGCCACAGTAGCTTGCAGAGTGACCCTGAGTAAGTCATTTAACCTCTCTGGATTTCAGTGAGCAATCCAGGTTTGATATAAGGGACCACTTGGTTAAAAATGTTTGGCTCAGGCCCCTCTCCCCATCTCACCACCTTGACCTTGTGTAGCTCTCCAGCTCCTGGCACACTTACCCCTGCTGCTGGGCTCCCATCATCTCGAGTCCAGAGGTAGCTGACTATTCCCTTGTCATCTGAGGACTTGGAGCCATCCAGCGCTGCTGTGTCCATGGGCAAGGTAATCACCACATTCCCAGTTATCTTGGCTGTAGGTGGTTTGTTCATTTCTAACCAAAGAGAAATCATTGAATCAATGTCACATTCTGGAGAAGAAGGAAGGCTTCTTCATGATGTTTCTGGGGAAACTAAACATCAAAAGCATCTTAAATAGAGAACTAAGTGCCTATCCATGCCAGGAACTAACATTGTAGATTTAAAGCCACCAGTGCCGCAGGTCCTGAGGCTCCAGTCCCACCCAAAGAAACATTCTCCTGACACCGAACAACAGAGGGGACAGTGTAGTTTCCTTCTGTATTCTCAGAGCAGCCTCCCTGAAAGGAAGCCATTTCTCTGCTTTGAAGGTACATGCTGATTGGAAACAAAGGCCCAAAGTGGATTAAAGCCTTGGAATTTAGGTTTCATCCAGCTGATACCACAAATTCTCTTTAAAATATGGCTTAAAATATTATTCTCTGAACATCTTTTTTGATTCCTTCCTTAGTATGTTAATAGAGAAAAGGGAGAGAGATCACTCTCATCCTGGGCCCCACCTGCAACTTTGTTTACTCAGGTGTGTGCTCTCTATTTACTGAGCTCAAGATACTATATCTGGAGGTCATCTGCATATCTGATGGCTTTTCCTACTACTGGCTGAGAGCCCTCTCCCAAAACCATCACTGATCACCGTGCCTGCAAACCACAGCAAGGCCAACCAACTCTTGCCTCAAGCTGGCCTTATCGTGCAGGCTCACAGGTGGAGCACAGGAAGCTAGTGCAGGACAGTCATTCTAAGGCCTGACAGCAGGTGTCACTGTAGCTAGCTGGAGAGGCAGAAACCCCAGGTGTTAGCAGCACAGAGGCAAAATAAAAATGCAAAGGAAAAAAAAACCTTAATTCTTTCCCTATTCAACAGAGAAAGAAGGAAGGGACGGAAGGAAGGAGGGGAAAACAAGAAGTTAAAATTCACCTCACAGTCACTCTCAATTAAAAGTTGTTTTAGGAAAGCAAATAATAGCTGCCCTTACCCGAACCTTCTTCCCCACCCTTGTCTCTAATCAATTTCTGCAGCCAAACAAGAGATGATGGATTCTTCGGGTATCTGCCCCAGAGGCTGCTGCACCAACCCAAGGCAAGGAGGTACCTTCTTTGACAATGACATTCACAGAGCTCTGGCTTTGCAGGTTCCTCTCATCTTTGACAGTCAAGGTGAACACATAGGTTCCCACTTGCAGTCCCGTCACAGTGGCAAGACTGCTGTTAGCATTCTCAAGCTGTACCCCATCAGGTCCCCTGGACAAAGAGAGAAACCAGAGGGTGGAGTTGTACCTGTCTGCTGCTCTCCTGTCCCTGGCTCAGCGGGAGGAGACAATTATTGCCTCAGCTAAGACATGAACTATTGTTTCCCAGACCTTGAGAGGGCATATTTAAAAATATTCCATTTGGACAGAGTGTGATTTGGCCCCAAAATACAGGCTACCTGCTGATCAGAAAATTCCATTCACCAACTTTCAAACACATCTCACCTTACCCTTTATATAAGCTTCTAGAACATTCAAACTCTTTGCTGTTTCAGTTTGTAAATGGAAGAAAGTGCTCTGAGCAGGTCTCTGATCAAAAGAATGACTTAAGAGTGATGTTTCTGAAAAGCATTTCTGGCCCAGTAGTTGGTTCAGCTCTTGCCAGCAAAGGAGCAAAATGCATTTCTTAATCACAAGCCAAACTCCCTCCTGCTGAAAAGTCAGGGAAGGGGAATGGGCCAAGGCTGCAGAGGAACTCTCAAGGCAACCATCCTCTTCTTAGCCACTCTATAAGCAAAGCTCCCTCCAGCTCCTGGACAGGGACCACAGAGGTCCCAGGACACCCCACATCCTTCCTTCTCCCCTGTGGCCTCACACAGCAGCCTGCAGCAGGGCAGTGAGCTCTGTTCCAATAGCCAGGTACAATGCTGCACATACCAGAGAACCCTTCTGCTCAAGGATCAAAACGCCCCAGAGCTTTCCTTAAAACTGCAGGACAACCAGAGAAATCTGCAGACTTCCAGGTTTTGCTTTGCTGTTTAAACACATAACCTCTGATCCCAGTAGCCCCTCGTGAAACAGATTCTCCTCCAAGAAGCTATGCTAACCATTATTTCTGCTGTAAACACTAATAAAACTCAACTAAAATGTTTATCAGCCATATCTTCAACAAACAGTTATAATTAAAACACAGCGGGCTGAGGAAGATTAGGTTCTCCAAAAGACCGAAACGAGCTGATAAAAATAATTTCTAGAATCCAACTCACCAATCCTAAGTCAAGTGATTT